AAGCACTAAATGAAGTGAAGAATAGTAAGAAATAAAGGAGTGATAAGTGGATGAGTTAAATACACTTCTGATTTTTGTCTGTTTATTGGTTGGTTTAGAATTTTCTCGCAAAGCTACACAAAGCCTAGAGGGAAGACAGCTAGTCAGCAACACCCACCGCCAACTCTCGGGCTATTCTTGTCTGATCGAACACAGGGATTTGACAGCAACTCTTATATAAAACCCTCGGCCCAAAATTCTGAGTGAGGTTTTTGTAGCAACGAATCATGAACTACAGGATTCATAGTAGGAGCATGCTTGATACTAAGCCACGACCAGTCCGCATCTGCTGTAAAAAAAAAATCAATGTTTCATCCATTAGTCTTTTTTTTTCTCTAAAAAAAAAGACAAACAAAAAGGAAATAATGAGATGGTAGGATAATCGTTGGATTCGCCAGCTGGTTAAAAAAGTTTTAGTCGAAAGAGAGTTTTGAAACTCATTAAAAAACTCAGTGTGTAGAACGCCAACGTATTTTCATAAGCCGCGGAAGTTACTAGAAAACTCAACTATTCAGTAATGGGCGAATAGTCTTCATTTAAATTTTGCGTAGACTGATGAATAAATAGTCTATTTTATTCGGAGTGTCTTTTCAGCACGAACTCTTGTTAGTGTTTCGATGGGTTTATTTTGATCTTCGTATCACAGTCTTCCAGCATTTTTGTTAGTGTGTTTCACTTTGAATGGATGTTGAACTTCTGATATCCCCTTAGGTCCACATTCAGCCTTACCGTGGTATTACTGATGTAAATTAAGTTACACTTAATGCTCTGGAACAGAATATAGCTCGTGAGACGGAGTTGAGTGGGAAGTCTAAATCTGTAAATAAATTTTCCACCTGTCTTATTTTAACGTATACATAGTTATGCAAGTATCATGTAGCTATGTATTGTCACAAGTTGGATTTATACCCCATTTAATATACTTTTTCCAAGGCCGGTAGTCATTAAAATCGATACCAAGCAACCAACTACGAGTACCTTAAATATCAGCGAATCTTTACAGAATAATAAATACGTGTTCTGGCTCCGTAGGCGACTACTTACATTCAGATTCACGAGAAAAGAGTTATTTAGTGAATAGCGTAAAAAGTATGTTTGTAGTAAAACCATTTAATGGGTTATATTTACAAAGCCTACCATGGGTAACAAAACCGGTTTTTAGCGTTATGAGTCTTACCGCTGAGCCACTGGGGAACCGCTTTAAAGTTAAAATTAAAAAGTGTAATTCAAAATCGTTTTATTATTTTGTTCTCTATTCATGAGAGTAGACCATCAAATTATTCAGTGATAACTGGTAATTTTCATACTAATCCCAGTTTAACTGTAATATTGAATAACTTATCTCCGAAGTCCCAGGGGTCATAATAATCCCAGTTTAACTGTAATATTGAATAACTTATCTCCGAAGTCCCAGAGGTCGTAGTAATCCCAGTTTAACTGTAATATTGAATAACTTATCTCCGAAGTCCCAGAGATCGTAATAATCCCAGTTTAACTGTAATATTGAGTAACTTATCTCCGAAGTCCCAGAGGTCGTAGTAATCCCAGTTTAACTGTAATATTGAATAACTTATCTCCGAAGTCCCAGAGGTCGTAATAATCCCAGTTTAACTGTAATATTGAATAACTTATCTCCGATGTCCCAG